TTAATTAAATAATTAAAAATTAAGAAATTTAATTTCTCAATTAAAATTATAATATAAAATTAGAACAAACAATTATTATAATTATCGTTTGCAAAAAACAAATTCGCTATAGTGTTAACTTAATTTCCGTCAAAATTAAAAATTTTATTTCAGATTATTTCATAGAAATATTTTTTTAATCAAAAAATTTAATCTCAAGAAATCATTTGTGTTGTGAGCTCTATTTTTGTGAAATGCTCAAATATGAATGCAAAGAATTCATACTTTCTCTCACGCATAGTACGGTAAATTATATCAAAGTCTTTCAAATTTAATAAAAACTACACATAATGTAACTACACATAATGTACAGCAGCGTAAGAGAGATTTCTATCCCTGACACTTCAACGGCCATAACAAAGAATATCTATTGATTTAAGTCTAAGATTTCACAGAAGATGATAATATTCAATAATATTCAGTTTAAAATTGCCAACATTCTTTTCTCATTACAAAGAATTTCTCATTAGTATAATAGCAATATGCATATTACACAAACTTTACGAGACGGAACTTTTTTCTTAACCGTACGTTTAGATTGTTTTCCTGACAATTCTTTAGTCTATTGATGCTCGTTTTTGTCAATGCAGATTTAACTTTAATCTTGGTTTAATTTAATATTTATTTTTTTCAGTTCTAAAAATTAGAAAAGGATAAAAAATATGTTAAATCAAGATTACATATAAAGTTAATTTATATTGGCAGAAATAGACATGACACTTGTTTCGATTTGAAATCAAGAATTTATACTTTTTAATAAATAGTATTTTTTTTACACAATTCAATAAAAAAAAACATTAAAACGAGACTAGTCTTTCCCAAAATTTTTCGATTGCTGAATATGAATCTGATTTTCAAATTGCTCTATTACATCACACTTTTGAGAAATTTGTAGTTGCAAAAAGAATTATTTTTATATATATTGTCATATTATAAATACAATATGTGATCTGTTAGAAAAGTTTTTTGAAATCAAAATTAAATATATCGTTAGGATTTTCAACCTCATCAAAAAAATGTGTCGGCTACAGTTGATAAGACATTCATGATTAAATATTGCGAAACAGCTGTGAATTAGGTCATTAACTTATTAAAAAACTTTCAATTAGGGTAACTCATTAGGGTATATATACGCTGTACCTAACAAAAACTTAATTTATAAATATTATTTATTATGTTTAAGATAAATAAACTGTACTAATAAAAACTTTGTATTGTCTGCTACTTTTAAAAAAATATTAGAAATCCTAAATATTTATTTTTCGTATTAAAAAAAAAACTTTTTGAAACTCTTGCATTTTTGCTATATATCTCATAGAATGGAATATTACTCATAGATGAGCTCTCGAAAAATTTACAAATAGTGTCTTATAAATACAATAGTTATAAATAACTTATAAATAAGACATAAAATGGTATAATAACTTATTAAATGTGTTTACAAAGTTTTATTAAGGAATAATAAATATGTATATGAAGTAATAAATAATGATTATAATCTTTTACATATATAACAAATGTTATGCTATTAAATACATATTTCATATAATACATTTATTGCATTTAGTGTACTGAATCTAATCTGCGCATACTTTGTATACTTTGGGCATAAATCCCGTACGCTAAAAATACGTATATCGCCCTCCCCCCCCCCCCCTCCAAATAGGTGAAATATCATCAAGCTGAACAAAGAATATAAGAAATAAGTAGTTGTAGTTTGCCATACTCCATTCTCTATTATCCTTTTACACGTATGTATCACCAATAACCATTAAGCTTTTCGTAATCTCTACAATAATCGTTTTATATGAATTATGATATATGATTGCGCTATTCATTACGTTGACAAATCGATTCAACTGACAGTAATTTTATTAATATTAAATAGGAAACTGAAATCATAACACACTACTAATTTAACATAAAAGCATATAATAGAATGGTTGCATGCACATTATCTCTACTCCTTTTAGTTTCTCTGACTTCTGCAGTATAAATCCTCGTGCGGCATAAATACTGGAAGTCATGTCTATATTTATTTAAACTTAAAGATTTTTTTAAGTGATTATAAATCACTCATGTCAAAATTGACAAATTCAAAATATGCAATCAATAACAAAACTTAAAAAATATCCAAAAATTTATATAGAGATTTTTTTTTCATTATTTTGAATTCATCAAATTTTACATCAAGTTCATATTCAGCAATCTAAAAACTCTTGAAGTTTAAATGAATATAACTGCTATTTGGTAAATTATCAATGATCTAAAATTTTTTCTACAACATTTAACTATGAATGAATATCTTATTAATCACAACCGACACAAAAAATTTTTTGAGAGCTAAAAGACTGAACAATGTACCTAACTTTGATTGCAATAAAATTTGTGTAGCACGTAATATCACGTACATACATATGTAATTATAATATGACAAAGTACAAAGAAAATAATCCTTTTTTTGCAATTACAAGTACAAATTTTGTAAAATTATGACGAGATAGAGCAATTTGTAAACAGGATTTGTATTTAGCATCCGAAAAAAACTGTAAGAAATGACTAGTCTCAACCTAATGTTTGAAAAAAATTATTTTTTGTTAAACTGTGTTATATAATTTAAACAAGCCATATATGAGCCAATATTATGAACTGGCAGCGCAGATGTCTCTCACATTCAAAGCATGGTATTAACTCGGAGTAAATAGCGGTTAATTTCTATTCAGATTTTCTTCAGCCAAATGTTGGCTTGCGTATTCTAGTGAGCAAACTGCCTGCATAACGAATTACAGAGCAACATTAGCAACAAATTTGTTTGGGTGTTGCAAGAGATCATCCATGTCCGTATTAAACTCATATTTTATCGGCAATCTGCTGATATAATCTAATAGCAGATTGTTGACAGAAATTGAATGAAATTGATCATTTTGTAAACTATGTTAATTTAATATATCACACAAAATGTAGAGATTTTCTATAAAAGATATTCTATAAAACTCTCTAATTTCTACAGAATCTGCCATTATATTTTATCATATATAGTAGTCTGTTATATTTCTGTTGTATTCTGTCGACAAAAGCTAAGACACTGTGTCTCCAGATTTGTCACAGATCTTTCCAAAATCTCAACATATTTAGCTATCCGAATATAATCCTTGCTTCGATTTTTTTTTAAGCGAGAGATCAATCTTTATTTTATTTAATTCTATTGCATGACTTCTTCCGTAAAATACGTTCCGAGAGGATATACATCTCACTAAGTGAACTAACGACCCGATTTCTCGTACACAGCTAATCGTACTCTGCGTGACGGTAGCCAGCGTTATTGGTGATCTGCCACCGGGCACACGGCGCAACACTTACTTGCCGCCAGAGCCGACAAAAGGTTACACGTACAACAAGCCGCCGGTGTCATTTCCGAAGCCCACGCCGACGGGGCCGTTTCCTACTCCAAACTTCCCTGGACCCAGACCGACGCCATCCTTCCCCACACCTAGGCCAACACCGTCCTTCCCCGGACCCAGGCCAACCTTTCCCGGGACCAGACCGACGCCCACCTTCCCACAACCTACCAGAACTCCAGGAACTTTTCCGCCGTCCACAGGATATCCCAGAATAAGACCCACACCTCCTTTCCCAGATTATAATGGCCAACAAACCAATGGTGATAGAACATCCCTTATCCCTGATGTAAGTATACACTAAACAAAAAATCTAATATTTAAGTGATTTTAAAGAAATACAGAACAAATACATACTTTTTTACTTATAAAAAAATCTGCAATTTAGAAACTGTAATTGAAAAATTAATTTTTCTTTTATCTAGAATAGACATAGATCTCTAAAAATTGATAGAACATCTCTCAAAACTGCGAAGTATCCTATTAAAACAGTTTGAAGTAGAAAGTTCGAATTTCATTTTGGATAAATAATTTAAATAAAACTGTCAATTTATTTGATCAATTTAATCGAATCGAGGATTCAAATATAATTTTCATACACTAAAAAAATTAAATTTTAATAAATATTTGTTTGAATAGTTCTAAATTTTTTAATATATTAAATAGAAAATTTTAAATGGTTCGGACATTAAAGAAAATTCAAGTATAAAAATAATATAGTACTTATTAAAAAAAAGGAAATAAACAGCTCTATTTCTTGGGGCTTACTCTATTTCAGATTTACAGTTAGATCTAATGAATCGAACAATTCGAAGTGTTCTTAGGCTTGAATTATTTAACCTTCTAACCGTGTTTAGAAGATTTAATATATCACAAAAATTGATATTTTTGTTGGCAATATTATCGTTACCACGAAAATTTTCTAAAAACACTCGAGTCGAAAAAGATCCGAACATAGTTAGAAGAAATAATTAGGACTGAATTATGTTATATTAAATTATACATATTGTTACAAATATTATTTGGATTTTAGGATTGAATTATTTAAATATAAGATATTTAACTGATATAATCTTTCAATTATGAAAAATAAATATGATTTAATTCAAATTAATAATTATTTTTTATATTTTTTATTTTTATCTGAATGAGATAATATAATTGAAGTTTGTATAAAATTAGATAAATCGATATTGCACACGTATTTAATTTTTTAATTAATGCATTGCAGCATGATCATCATCATCACGAACCTGGCATGCCCTTTGACTTCAACTATGCTGTGAAAGAGGACGCTTTCGGCAACGATTATTCACACAATGCCATTAGCGACGGTGAAGTCGTCCGTGGTGAATATAAAGTACAACTTCCGGACGGTAGGACGCAACTTGTGCGATACACTGCGGATTGGCAACACGGTTTTAGCGCACAGGTTTCTTATGATGGAAATCCTCGTTTCGACGGTGGAAATTTCAATCGAGGCTATTAGCTTTAGCGTCGGGTTCTAGGGCTGTTCAATTTCTGTTAAATCAAAAAGACTACAGAACACAACGTCGTATATACTGCATGTAACAATATTTTTAAAGATATTGAAGATTAGTAAGGATGTATCATGAAAGTATGATAATTTATGTAGAAGACAAATGTTCACTGTATTTCTTAATATGATACTGATAATAATAACATATTCAGCGTTTTAAAATTCTCACATAACGTTATTCGTAAAATTTCATTTTAACTCTTCCTTGTTGAAAAGGCGAACAGATAATTTTTGTAACTTTTGAACTTTGTTTTGATATTGATATCTATGTATCAATTCGATATTTAAAATTCAAAGTCAAAATTTTACTAAATTCTACTTCTATTTAAAAGATAATAATTGTAATGTTTATATGCAATTGTTAGTCGTGAGAAGCTTTTATTTTTCATAGCTCATAGCTGAGGAAAATTACTAATAGAATTTATTGCTATTATTATAATAAACAAAAATCTATTTTTAATACAAAATTTTGTAGAAAGTAGTGCTATATATCTATTCAATCAATTTTGAGACAAATTATATATATATTAATGTGATTCAATTTTCCTTTTCTTTTTAGATTTATAAATAAATAATTTTAAATAACAAAAAATAATAAATATTTAAGAAACTTATTTCATCTGTGATATACATAATCATTATACTACAATAATAATATTATCTACTTCATCTTATGTTCATTAGATCACAAATCAATTTCAATAATAAATCATATAATTGTTGCAATTACGTAAATTGTTGGATCACATTAATATATATATAATATCTATATTATAAATAAATCTCCTATATATTTTATTATGCAAATTATATTTT